CTTGTTGTTTGCTGGAGTTCCATAGACCTTGGAATCATGGATAGATGCTGCCTGTTTACATTCTTCCTTATCGTTGTTGGCCTCTTGTCTTTCTTTGGCTTCAGCTGGTAGTTTGGGAGCGTCGGCTCATCAAATTTCGAATGGGTGCTACATTACGAGGTTTTTCAGTGGATTTGCTCTTTACAACTCATTGGAATTCTCAACTGCAGTTGTTTTGGTCCCCAGTACGTTATCCTCGAGCTTTAGCAAAAGATGCATTCAATCAGGACTGGACGGGTTGACATTTGTATGCCTTTCCCCCTATTCATCTGTTGCCCAGAGTTCTCGCTATTATTTTTTCCACTCCTTGTCTGGTTCTTTTGGTAGCACCATTTTCACCAGCTCAAACATGATTTCCTCTTCATCAGTAATTGCAAGTGTGTCCGCCTCTACTACTTCCTCTATGACCATCTTTGTTGAGACAACCTTGATCTGACGTTCAATGCCCAGATGTTCAGAAACTCAAACTTCATGCCTGGAAGTTATGTGGGCATTTGCCAGACATAGGGTGTTTAATTTCTAAAGGTATGTTGTACATAACTAAATCTTTCCGTAGACCAACTATGGCCATTTGTCAAAGAAAGTGGCACACTTATTGTCAGTGAAAACGGAAATTCAAACCCACTTCATCCAAAGGTGTCTACTATTTCAAATTTTTTGACATGGATTTTTGAAAGAGGTTTGTCTTTGTCTACTGCGGCTTATATAAAGTGCTCTTATTGACAACTTTTCGATATTCCAAATATAGGAAGGTTTTTGACTCTCCGGTGATATATAACCTATTAAAATCCTTTTGCATCCTTTGGCCCAAACAGCTTTTTCAATTGCCAAATTGGAAAGTTAAGGTTGTTTTACATGTGTTGTCTCATCATCCCTTCAAGTTTTAAGCCTCCTGTTCTTTGTATCACCTTTCGATTAAGGTATATATTTTGCTGTTTGCATGTGGGTGTTGTCAATCTGAATTATTTGCAACACATGTATATATCATTCCATCTATGTCTTGCTTTACCCTGCTAGTTCCTTCCTTCCTTCCAAAGACTCTGGCAGCCAGAGAAGGGGAAACTCCTTCTCACCCATTCACTTGCCAGCCATTTCTCACCTTAATGATCACCCAGCCCCCAATCATTTGTAACATCATATCAGGTGTTATGTGGCTTGTACTAACTCATTTCGGGGTACTAGGAATAGACTATTTATTCCATGGGATCCTTCAGTTCCCAGGATTTGTCCTCCATTACCTTAACAAGGTGGGTTAGAAAATTGATTTATATTGCTTACTCTGGTCTATCTTTACAGGAGAGGAATCTGCTGTGAGTCACATCTCACCAAATTCGTCACATTTCTGTGTCATTGGCTACTGGCTTGAATTTCTCTCTGTAAGACATTTTATGGGCTGGTATGTGGACTTCTCCGAATACTTTTATCTCTAATTACTTGCATGATTTGGCAGTTTCCTCTTCTGAAGGTTTTCAATTAACCCCTGCGGCTGTTTTTGACTACATCCGTTAGATTTTAACAAGGGATGAGTAATTCTCTCCATCATATGTTCTTTTTTCTTTCCAGGATCCCTTTATTTTTTATCTGAATGCCATCCTGTGGCGAGTGTTGCCCGTACAGGTTTGCTTTTATCATTCTAATTTTGCACTAGCAACCCATTTCACTATCCATACTACTGGTTGCAACAGGCTCTGTAGAAATGAGGTGTTCCATAAGACCATCTAGGTCCATTCCAGATGGCATTATCATATTCTCATGGACTGTTATGAGTAAAGTTAATAGGGATCCTGCCTGTCCCTGGCGATCATCAGATTGAATAAATCGTGATCAGTTTGCTTTTCAAAATTTAGGAAACTTGGTTCACCTATTGCACTGTTTCCAGAGCACTGTTCCTCAGAACACCCCAGTGCACATTACCACCACCCCCCAGATTCTACTAGTGGAGTGAGGGAGTCCTTACCACACCCAGTTTCCAGTCACTAGGGTGGTGGACAGAGGTTTTTCCTCCGAGTATTAGAGTGTGTTCCTCCATTCTTGGAGAAGAGGGCAAAGTTGGGGGCCCTCCTACCCGGGTCCCTGGATTTATTTCCCAGATGTCAGTAGGAATGACGCTGGCCTACGCTTGAGCCTACTTGTAATACCGGTTCAGATTTGATCCTAAGCTAGCCAGTTAGGGTATGCATGGCCCTTCTTATGAACAAAGTTCAATTGTATATTGTTCATGGATAGAGGTCCACTATCACCTCATAATTCCGAATGTGAAGTGGTCCCATACAAGGTCCTTGGTTGAAACACAGTGTTCCACATCCTCTCCATAATTCTGGGAGCAAGTGGAATGCTTCTTGCCCACATGGTTGGAAAGTAATGATGAATGTTCATGATTCCAGACTGGATATGAGTTCTGTTCCTTTGGTCGAGTAAGGCATGCATAATCCCGTCATTTCAAGCCTGGGATGATGCCTTTCGGTCTTCTTCAGATGGAAGAGAAAGTTTGTCCACTTCAGTGTTGCTTCCTTTCTTTTCATATTTCTGGTGGTTTGGAACTCATCACTCTATAGCTACAGGTTTGTATCCAATACAAAGTATAACTATATATTACATTGTGGTCCAATTGCCCTAGCCACCAACATGGGATATTGGAACCAAGACATTGAGTTGTGGAACCTCATCCATCTGGTTGGGGCTGGCCTATAATAATTATTCATGTAATATTCCACCATTGATATCTATATTAAGTTCTGGCTGAAGAGCATACCTGTTCTGGATGTAATGGGGTTTCCCCACTTGGGTACCACTCTTATCTTGGTAAATCCAGGTTCTATGCAGACATTTTCTGAATGATTAATGCCTTCACCGGCCCCCTCCACCTTCTTAATGTGGAATTCTAGCTAAAGTGGCAGCAGATGGTATGTTTTGGAAGTTAACATTTTCCTAAATTGAAAATGTATTTCCAATAATACTTACCTCTGCTGACACTTTCCTACCCTTCCTTCCCATTAAGAGCCACTGTTAATCTTGGGAATGACTTAAGTCTTGAAAAAGTGATTACATTATCTGAATGAGATGCTTGTAAACAGTACCTGGATAGAGGGTGCATTGATGTTGGTGGAGAGTTTTGAAAATTAGATATTGCCCAGGGCATTAAAGGGGGGTATAACAAACTGGAGCAAGCGAGTTGAATGGTTAGATGGGCAAAGAGGTAGAAACCTTGAAGATAGAGAAATAGCTAAAGTGGCAGTGGATGGTAAGTATGTTTTGGAAATACATTTTCAATTTAGGAAAACGTTAACTTTTATAAAATACTAGTCCACTAAAACACAGGTCACTTTGTAAAGACTACAGGTCAGTTTTATGTTATTGGATATGGTAACATGAGTGCATATGTGCTGCATCATTGTAACTTCTGTATTGTTAACCAGGCATGGCTGAATGGTCAATATAATAAAAATAATAAATATATATAAATGTATAATGTTATGAGGTTTAAGCTATTTAGTCTAAACATTTATGTTTTCGAGTTATAATTTATGTTCATTCTAAAATGAAAGAGGCATGATTTATATTTATTTCCTAATTTTTTATGGTGGTTATGAGATCGGTCAAATCTACCAAACCCGTACAGAGATTCATTACTGAAAATAACAAATAAAATATAAAGTTTTTCTTAAGAAACATTTGATGACTATCTGGAAATTATAAAGATTTTGTATGTGAAATTTGAAAATTTTCTGATGCATAAAAGTATTTTTAATCTTAAAATGAAAATTACTTTGCATGTTAGATAGGCAAGATGTGAAAAGAAAAAAAAATGCATGAGAAAAACATTGCTTTACAAACCTTAAGACATAATAAAAATATTTGATATTTTGCATATGAAAGCATTGTAATGTTTACTAATAATGTGCCAAATTTCATTAAATTCAGTTGCTAATTTATAAGCTATAGCAAGAAAATTCTAACAAGCACAAAATGGTTATGAGGTTGGTCCCAGGAACCAAGCCCATGCTGAAAGAGTTAAGAGAAGCTATAATGTTACTTATCTCTGCTTAACCTGACCATTGAATATAAGACACTTTATAAGTGTTGATGTACATACATGGGTGAATTTGCTCCGAGTATATATGTACGAGGTCAAAAGCATATGAAATATAAAAATAATTAAGTAAACCTAACATTATTAAACTAAGTCATCTAAAAATACACATAAGAAATTAGACTTCTGAAATAAATCACCTTAAAAACTAAGGTTATATTTTATTTTCTTGGTGATGTTTTGAGCAAATGCTCTTTTTTTCAAGTCGGTAACAAACCTGTTAATTAATGATAACTATTGGAATGTTTTGAAAGCAAACAGTACATGAGAACAGGGTGTAGCATGAGATAGAACCACGAGAATTAAACAGTATAGTAATGGCAATATAATAAAGCTGAATAACGGTAATAGAAATTATTAAAAATATGAAAACAAATTTACAAAGCAAAGAAAGAAATAACTTAAAGATTTTTAAGGTCATAAGTGAAGATTCTTTTAAAATTTTTATAAAAAGCTGAACCATTCATTAATATTTAAAGGATAATTGGTGTTGAAGGTGGCATGTCATAGGGCAAGTTATTTAAAGTACTCAAGGAAATGATCAGCTTTGTTGAAGTGTCGAGCTAAAGGTTTATCTTGACCTTTAATCAAGATGATATATAAGGGTTCTCATGTGTGTCCAACAGGCATGTGGCTTGTTTCTACTACATAGAATTGGTCACAGTTGTTACAAATGATACAATATATTAAACATTTAGATATACAGTTGAAATGACTATTCACAGAATACCTTGATTTATGGCCTCTAACAAATAATCTATGATCAATGTAAGGGCAAGTATTGCATCTGCTCCTCCAACAGTTATACGTATCAACTTGAGTGTCAGATGATAGTTGTATGTTGTTTGGAAGTTGACTGTAGATGAGTAAATCTTTAATGTTATTGTCCATGTGTTCTGAGCTGAAAGTTGTGTGTGTTTATTTGTGTTTGAATGGGTGAAATGTAAGTGTATGGAGAATGTGTTTATCATCAGTGGAAGTAAGATTGTGTTAGTTGAAGCAAGGTTAGATGTATTTTGCTGGAAGTTTTAAGTTATCTAGGGTATTGGTGTTATAATTACCAATATGATTTAAGCTAAGGAATCTCCAAAAAACTGAATTCGGATTATATCTAGATTATATATAGATTATATCTAGTGTGATGAAGAAGAGAAATAGGGTAGCCACATTTTTGGAAAAAGTTGAACATGTTGATAGGTTTGCTATTATAATTTTGGTTGTTACTGCAAAGTGTACATAATCTGGCAAGCTGTGATTTGGGAATGTTTCTCTTGACATACTAGAGTGAAAATGTAATTAGCTATGTGTGTATCATCAGTTTGTTGCATAGATTTCATGTGATTGCCACCATCATTCCATGAAATAGTTTTCAAGAAATGAAATGGCTTGGTGGGAAGTAGAAGATATGTATTGGAGTGATGTGTGAAAGGATTTAATGAACTGAAGAAGAAGGTCGAGCTCATCATTAATGCATGTAGCTATAGTAAAACATCATCAGTATATCTACAATATAAGGCAGGGAGATCACTTGTGTATTCATGAAATATACAATTTTCAATGTAACCAACAAAGAGGCATAAGAGGGACGACCCGTTTTAGTTTCCTTTCACTTGTTTATATAATTTTTTGTCAAAAGAAAAGACATTTAACTAGTTCAGCTAATCTGATCAGGATTTTAATAGGTGGGTCGAGAGTATCTATTTTATCAAGGTAGTGTTTTATGGCCTTGAGTCCATCTTCATGTGGAATGGAGGTATACAACAATGTTATGTCAAATGTTAATAAAATAATAGAATATTATTTTGAATTAAAATTCACAATTCTTTTGTAAGGCATCATTGGTGTCTTGAATAAGGATGGAACCAAGGTAACAAGAAATTAGTTCAGTTGGGCAGTGGTATGTTGAATCTATGGGTCTACCAGGATGGTATGGCTTATGTATCTTAGAAAGAAGATACAATAAAGCCTAAGGTATTTAACAATTAAATTCTTAGCTTCTAATGAAAGTTTATTATTTCTTATCATTAGTTCTATAGTGGCATGAACAATCTTTTAATATTCATCAAGAGGGTTGTTATCACAGATAGCATAGGACAAATGGTCTGATAATTGTCAGTGAGCTTACTGAAAATAGAGTCCTTCTTTTGTCAGCATATTTTATTACAATGTTGTTGCAGGAATGAAGATTATGTAAAGCTGTCTGTTAATTTTTAATGAGATTTCTAACAGCTGTTGCAGTTGTAAAATCCAAGTTGTAAATTTCCTTTCAACACTTTTTGACATAGTAATTCAGAGGAAGAAGTGTTCCAGGTAGGGTAGGGTTGTCCATGTATTGGTTTGTTTCTGTAGAAACAAATGTCTTATTGGTGTTGGTAGGTGGCCAAACACCCATTTTATATAATTTTTAAAATAACTGTTATTTATTGCCTTAAGTTATTTCTTTCTTTGCTTTGTAAACTTTTTATATTTTTAATAATTTTATTGCTTTTTTTTTAATCACCAGTTCTTTTCTTCAGCTTTATTATATTGTCATTACCATAATGTTTAATTCTATTTTACGTTATGTTCTGTTATTGTGTATTGTTCCTTCCCAAATGTTCTTGTAGTTGTCATTAACTAATGGGCATATTTCTGGCTTGAAAAAGAGTGCTTGTTTGAAATTCTGCCAATAAAATAAAATACACCATAGTTTTTTAAAGTGATTTATCACCTGCACATTTTTCTACTTATTTATTTGCTGAAAATGCAATAGCTCATCCTGTTCTGGGATCTGCATCATTAACAGTTATTACTAATTCGGGTCTTAAATTGATAAAGTTCAATTGTGAGTTATAGTGAAAATATAAATAAACAGTAGAATTCTTGGTACAATAGGATGATAGGAAATTATGATGATTATCTGTTTTGGGCATGTGTTGCAATGCACTTTAGCTGCTCTCTAACAGAGGGCCTGCAATTATTTACACAGCTCTTTTGAACTGATGTCAGTTGCCCTGCCATCTGATAAACTAATTTGGAGATCTATGCAGTGTTTCAGCAAGTCCCATGAGCTCATTATTAAGAAGTCAGCAATACAGTATGGGATTCCAAACAATTTACTGTTTTTTTTTTAATTAGTTGTTGAAACATCTTTTTCCATGTATCTAATAACTATGTCAGCAATTTTATTAAAGAAATTGATTATGAAATTAAGAATAGTTTCATAGCAACTTTTTTCTTTCTCAAAAAAAAAATCTGATTCTTTGAAATAAATGGATATTCTCTTACCAAAATGAAGTGTCGTTATTATGCAACTATAAAACAAAAGCAAAATATATTATGTTTAATTATACATGGACTTTTCTCTACATTAAAATACTTTTACTTGCAAGCTTTCAGCCTTCTTACCAGATTCTTCATTGGTTAAACAAATTTTTATCATTTAGTACATTATTGCCTGATGAAGCCTCCGATAAGAGGGCTTAAAGCTCCTAAATAAAAGTATTTTAACAAAGAGAAAAGTCTGTGTATAATTCTACATAACATTTTTTTATAGTTGTATAATAATAACATTTGATAATTTTGGAAATAGAATATCGGTATAATATAGGGCCTTCATTATCAATATGTGCATGCACTATATGTAGTTACAAATTTTAAACATACTACAAGTAATTTTCTATCAAACTAGCATATAAATATTTTTGTTCATTTTAGTTGTTACTAAAACACCATTAAGTATACTTTAGGGTTGTTTTGAAATTTTTTTATATTTAAATACACTTGAAAGTGCTGTAAAACACCTGTAATTTGCACAACCTGAAGGAGTCTCATTTTATTCATATAAAAAATATACATCAAATTACATGTGAACATTAAACATTTTGTCAGTAAAAATATGCTTCAAACTGTGTAAATCAAACTACAGTATCTTATGATTATATAAAATTTATATTTTGCTATTTTGTATTTATTTCTTAATGAAAAATTTAGATCTGTTGTATTCCACACAGGTTGTAGCTCAGAATGGTCTAGGTGGTCATTCTGGTAGATTAAACCACCAAAACTTACCATCAGCAGCACAGTTAAAACATCTTGTCCAGCAGATTCAAATGGCTGTACAAGCAGGACACCTTAATCCTCAGGTATACAGTGTATTATTACTGTAATTGTTTTATGTTGGGGAGGATGATCAGTAAGTTAGAGCAGCTAAATAAATGACTAATTGCGCTGTTTTATTCATTGTGAATCATAAGGACCAATTGACTTGCTTATTTTAATGATTCTATTAGTGTAAATATTATTTGTAAAAAACAATATATATGTACATTGAAAACATAACATGAATGAATAAAAATTGATATTTTATTTCATATCATTGTTTAGTCTCTTCTGGTTTCTTGTTGTAGTCAGCATGATGATTGTCAGAGACAATCAAGTCAGCAGTTGTTCATTCTTGTCTATTTAGGTACTATGTCTTCCTCTGAATTCTTCCTGCTACAATACTTACATGAAATTTTTTACAAATGGATCATTATAAAATGTTGGTTGACTTGTACACCAGATCTAGGAAAATCCTAACTTTTTTATGACAAATATAGGGCGACTTATACACTACATAGACTTGTACATCATCAAATACCATATAAATTGAACAAACTACAGTACCATAAACAACTCCAAACCATCGTCAAAAAAGAACATAAACTTGTGGAAACAAATCCAACAAACAAACTAAAATGATCAACTAACAGATTAATCAATAAATAGAAATCAGAAAATATCACCTAAATCATCATGAACAGAAGCAAATGGCCACAACTCTACCCAAAATTCACAAACCATAAATTTCTCTCTGACCAATTGTCAGTCCTATTAGCCCCTCACTGTCATTAGCAATCTAAATACCTTGCCTTCATCCTATGCCCTTTTGAAAAAACACACTGAAACTAGTGTAATTAAACATTGCTACTCCAATTGAAGAAACAACATAAATAATACAGATTTGTGAGCTTAGATGACATAAATGCTCCTCAGTAGTCCCATCAGTCTTAATTTTCCAATAATAAAAAGGAAACTCACTGAAGACACCACCCTAGTTTTAATTCCATAATGGAGCTATTGTCACATGCACTAATAGCACTTTCTTTCAGTTTCAAGATCCCTTGTTTTTACAAACTCATAGTTTGCCTACAGTTTTCCCCCCTCTCACCTTATTTCAGTGACATCTATGTGGAAGAATTTGAAGCCAGAGCTTTAAACTCTGCCTCCAAAAAAACCATGCTTATGGAGAAGATTACTGATTCAGGAATGACTTACAAACATAGCTTCTGAAAAAATCAATGAATGTAAGACAAAAATGTAACCAGTTGAAAGGATCGTTAATGAACAGTGAAGTACGTTCAGTGTTAACCTTGTGTAGTTTCCATTCTGGTTATTATTTAACAACACAAATAGCCTACCAAGGTCCTGTTTGAAATATAACCACACCTGATGTTGCAGTGAAAAGAATTAATTAAGAATATATGTAGAATTATACACAAACTTTTATCTATGTTAAAATACTTTCTTTCCAAGCCTTACCAGAGCCTTCATGGGGCAACAATTAAGAATAATGGTCTAAATCTGTCATTTGTAAAAATACACCAACAAAAATAATCCGGCCTTTTTAGTTTTGAGCAGTCTATATCCCTGGTTACAAAGATTTCAGGTCATGGCCACAACCATGTGGCCAAATAAAGTCATGCATCTGACAGTGTTCAAGAGGGCAGTGTATTATCTGAGTTGGAAACTTAAATGTTTAACTTTCAGCATAATGTTTTCTGTTGATAGACTTGTTTTTATATTCTTAGAAGTTATGTTATCTAAATGCCAAATGTTTTCTTCCATATTGTTTTAACATATTTTTTTTCCAGATTCTTAACCAGCCATTGGCCCCCCAGACCTTACAGCTGTTATATCAATTGCTGCAGCAGATCAAAGTATTACATCAGTTTCAACAGCAGCTGATCCAGTCACAGCCTTTAGGAAAAGGGAATTCTTCCATGCAGATGAATCTTCATATTACACAAACCAAACAAAGGATTCTCAACCTCCAGAACCAAATAGCTTCTCAGCAAGCTCTTTTTCTCAAGCAACAGGTGAGACTAACATATTCCTTTTCTCAAGCAGCCAATTCCAATAAATACATATTTCTTTTTCAAGCAATGTATGCATATAAAAATTATATTGCACAAGTCTTCTCAAGAAACAGCTTAAGACTTATTGATATTTTTTACAAATATAGTATAAACATATCTTTCTATAAAAAATGTTTTCTCAGAAAGTGGAAATCAATGCTGAGGTTGGACAAAATTTTTAAAAATGTAGTACAGTTATTCTTTATTACCTGTGTAATATTTGACTGTTTAAACATCTTTATACGGGCTAGAGCTGGATGATCTAATCGATTACGTATGAGCAGCAATTACACTAATTATTGTCATGTAAACTAATCTTTAAAATCTTTGAAATTATGATTAAATTGACTAATGTCATAAAAATAATCAACTACTCGAAATTAAATTAGAATCTCCAATTATTTCTGCTTTTTTGATTATTCCAACAGTCAATGAAAATTACAATTAAATCAAGGGTCATGAAAATAATCAACTAATGAAAATTGATTGTTCCAATTATTACTATTTTTGATTATTTCAACAGTCAATTAATCTAAATTGTGATTAAATCAACTTTCATGAAAATAATCAACTAATCAAAGTTAAGATTTCCAATTATTATTATTTTTTATTACTTCAGCTATTCAAGTAATTGAAATATTATGTTTATTGTCAAGCACAAGTTAAGCTACATAATGGACCATCTGTGCTCCACCCATTGTGGTATCAAAACTTAATATCAGTGTTAAAATTTATTTATTTTTTACTTCAAATCTATTCAGCTTTGGTACAGCATGGCCTGGTGATTCTGGAAGAGGGGGGGGGGGGTGCTTCATGATTCGAGGGTCTTGAGTTCGATTCTCATTGCCACCAAAATGTCTTTGTTATGGCAAAGCTACTAAGGCTATCTCTCATTCTATGAATTCTGAACTGCTGACTAGAGCAAAGTTAACTGGGTGGCAGCATCCACCAGCAACTCTTTGGCTATTTTTGTGTTAAATAAAATTAATTTTTTTTTTTTCTCATTTATAATTGTGTAACTATATTCTTTAATGTTGAATAAACAGGTGTGGATGTAGGGGAGGGGTCAGTCTGGATACTCCTTATTCTTTTCAGCAGTAAAAAAAAAAACAGCCAGACATCCTTACATTATGATATAGTATCAGAAAGAAACATTAGATGTTTGTGTTTTTATTTGATTAGTCTGTTAATTACCATAAAAGTTTTTTTAGGTTTTCTGAAGTCAACACATCTGGAGTCTACAACAATCCAATCTGCCAGTAACTGATATTTCATAAGCTAATACAACAATATAAACATCAATTAAACATTCCCATGGTAATTCTTTTGACATGGCTTTTTGTAGACAAATTAACAATGTGTTAAGACTTTAGAAATTTGTTTTCATCAAAGTTAGTATTGTTTAGGATGCCTTCAGCTCTTATAACAGACTTGTTACAGATTTGATTTTTCATTGTTTAGAAGTTAAAATTCGTAGGAGAAAAATGTTTTTCGTATTATTGATGTCCAAAATGAGTGAAAAAGGCAAGTGGTAAGACTGCATAAGTATGGACTTTTTAAAAATGTTTTGAAAACAGACATCCTATTTATGAATGCTAAAATATGAATTTAATCTAAATGAAACTCTTAACAATTATAACTATTTTATTTTTCTCACAATAATATTTGTCATCCATTTTTGTTAGTGTCCTTGTAAGCTAATTATATAGATTTTTGATTTTTTAAATACAACACAAAAATATGTGCAATATAAAAAGAAGTACTACAAAGTTTTGCTACTTTCATTGTCATATACTAATTTTGCAATATCATTTAATATTAAGCCAGTTCATTTATTGTATAGCTTATTGTATGTTTAACAACCTCGGCTTAAGTGATATTCAAGTTTTGTAATTCTTCTTTTCTACAGCAACTTCCTCATCAAGCAACCGTATCAAGTCCCCAGCTGTCCTCTAATGAGTTGTTCAAGCCAACTTTTGATCCCATGTCCACTCTCAATCCTGATTTACGTGACTTGTCACTAAAAGACTCTCCATTTGGTCAATCTCAGTCTCGTCTTCCACATTGGAAGAATTCTTTCCTTGAAAAGGAAGATGTAGGACCTAATCCAAGAGCTAAATGTGGAGGAAGTGCCAATGGTTCTGAAAGTTTTAGTCGTGCACCAGGTACGGTAGCAAAACCCATGGCATCAACAGAAATCTCATCATTTAACTTGTCTTCATCACATTCAAGTCAAAACTTGCACCCTTTCCTGGCTCAGGGTGATAGCACTTGGTCAAGCCTTTCAGGAACTCGGGTTGATTGGCCAGAGTCCTCACCATCTGTATCTGCTGGTGCCACCACAAAAAACAGTCCCACAACTTCTATTAGTAATTCTATCAAAGTAGGTGCTTCCAATGGCAATGGCAATCTTTCCATAGGAGGTAGCAAAGACTCCTCATCTACCACTTATTCAGCAGCTAGTTCAAAAGCCCAGTTGACATACAATTTAAATGACCTAGTAGCAGAGTTTGAGCCAGGGAAGCCTTGGAAAGGTCATTTACAGATGAAAAATATAGAAGATGATCCACATGTTACTCCAGGGAGTGTGAAACGGTCTCCTCTCTCTTTAAACACTATTAAAGATTCAGACATTTTTAGCTGGTCAGCAAAATCTAGTCCAAGTATCACCAATAGCAGTAGTGCCATGATGTCTTCACTGAGCACAACTTTACCTGGTGCCAACAACTGCTGGACTTGTAATCCACCTACCTCTAAGAGCAGGTGTGTTATTATATTTTTCAGCCTACAAGAATGTTAAATGTATGTTGATAAAAAGTTGCTGCCAAAGATGTGTTATAATTCTGTAGTACATCATTCATCATTAGATAAAAACATCAGTTTATGTCTTTACTTATTTTACTACTTTTAAAAACATTTGTTGACATTTCAGAAGTACTGAAGCTAGTTTTTATTTTTAGTAAAGCCATCTGTACTTCTGACAAATGTAAGTTTTGGTATACTTATCTAAAATAGTGTGTTGGTTAATTTTGTTCCATAATATTTAAGTCAATGGTGCACAACATACGACCCGCCAGCCAAATTTGGTCCATTAGCTCATTTTCTACAGCCTGTGACATGAAATTATACTGTGCAAAGTTGAAAGTTTTTTTAATTTGATGGAAATATTTAATATTTATTATTATTTAATATAAGAGTTTCTGCATCACAATTTAATAGAAATTTTGTTAAATAGTCTTTAGAGTTAGTAGAAAATACAAAGGGTAATGGGAAGTTTGAGTTTGATTTTCATGCATATAAAATTAATTAACAACTTGCCATATTGTTTTCCACCAGTGTATGTATGCTCTGTATATAAGCTTTTATATGTTTCATAACTTATATAACTTTATTTACTCTTATGAATATTTTTTTTCACAATTATTTTAATAAATTTACTTTTTTTTTGGATAAAATATATACAGAAAAATAGGGCTAAGCTCTGTTACAAGTGATTACTTTTCCATTATTTGATTCTCTAGCAAAATGAATATATTTTATCCACATAAAAAAGTAGATTTATCAAGACAGTTGTGAAAAAACATATACAAATTTTACTGAAATTTTGAATGTCAAAAATTTAAAATACAGATAAAAAAAATTCTCTGTAGCTCCAACTTCAACAAACAAGCCAATTTGAAATCCAGTTGGAGTGCTTTGGGCTCAGGATCTGATGTTTGGGGAGCACCAACTCCCAAGACTCGGGGTCCACCACCTGGCCTTATTTCTCAAGGCAGAGGCTTAGGTGGCTCATGGAACACATCACATGGTGGAAGTCATCAGAGCTGGGGTCCCAGTTTTCCCATGGGTAAACCATGATATCAGAAGTCTTTGTTATAAAATTATTCAGTGATAACAACAAAAATTATAGTTTAAAAAACTTAGATTCCCATAAACTTAATGTGTGATTTAACACTAAGAAAAAATTCTAGAATTAGAAGATTATCCAGGTATTTTAAAAAAACAATGGGAGGAATAAAACTTTATAAATTTCAAAATGTAAGTGGACAGGAAAACAGATAAATTAATAACTAATACAAACTAATTTGTTATTATACTACAATTTCTAACCTAATAATTTCACTCTAATGAGAATATGGGTTTTGAATGAATATATACATCCACAAGAATACAAATTAAAAAACTGTATACTTTATCATTATAACTGTTGATATTTATTTTCCTTTCATGTTGTATACACATGTGGTATTTGCCTACCACATACTTTATTTCTTATAGTGCATATTTCATGTTTTCAAAGTTATTAAATTTTCCTAATGTGTTCATTCAGAACATACTAAATCTGGTTGAAGTCATACTAAATATATCCCTAGGTGTTATGTTTTGTAGCAGGAGCCAATTATGGAAGCTATCTACTGTTTCATTGGATAGTTGTATCACTTTACCTTGTGCGTGAGTGTGGGACTACTTTACAACTGTCTCATGAAGCAGAAATATTTAAATTTTTGTGAATCAATTTTTCAGTTTGGTCAGCTACAGACACAAATTGAATGATAAATGCAGTTTGGACATATTCAAAGAGATTACTTTCTGACACTGAGAGAGCCACACACTTGATGTAAATTCCTGTCTTTGTTTCATTGTTTCCATCAATACCTACTGATTGTGCATGATTGATCTTCATTGTTAATAAAGGTTATTCTCATCTACTTTTTATTCATTAAGGTTTTCATTTATTTACCCTTTATATTTAAATACAGCTTATGTTCTTGATTCATCTTACACTTCACCATAATACCATAGTTTTATAACCACTTCATGATCATCGAACCAGTACCTGTTTATCAGTAAAGCACTTGCTTTTATTTAACTTCATTCTACCAATAATAAATCATAACACCTGTTTTTATACATACTAGGCCCTTGAATTCTCAGTTGTTGTGAGGAGGATCAGGTAGTTGTGTGTAAGGTTTGTCCATAAATAATACAGCAGCTTGTTTCAAGTTAGGTGAAACTTTGATATCTTGATCAGGATCTAGTTATTACTGTGATTGTGGTAATTCTTTTCATCTTACCCCTTCCCCCATAAGATATATTTCTCTCTTATGCTTTTTATGGATTAACATCCAATAGACACTTCTGTGATTTGGCAAGATCTGTAGCAAAGAGGAGGGAAGCCAATATGATCTGAGGGTGAGCTCAGAGAACTCCAGTTATCTCTGAGAATTCCTGTGCAGAATGCTGAGTACTCTTCAATGCTTCAGCAAGCATTACAAAGTTCCATGCTCTTCCCATTCACAGAGATGATTTAAATGTGGCTTGGCCTTGTCTGGAACTGCTGATATCAGTATCTCTTATGTAGATTAGCAGAACTTGAGGACAATGGTGGAAATATTCTATGAAGGGTTAACCAACCATGGTTTCACTGATACCTTATTTTGCTGTTTATATAGTGAGCTGGGTTATTGGAATCCTGTGCTGACAAAAATAGATGCTTTGAAATTGGCTAGAGATGAGCTACAATGAGCAGACATTTGTCATCTGACTACCTGCCTTCCATCAATTTCAGTCACCATCATGTCCTGGATAAGTCAGAAGCCTTCTTGTAATGAGAAATATTGATGCTATGCAACAACCAAAAACCTTAAGTTTGAGTAGCCTCTGATGGTGATGCTTTTGCTATGGCAACATATAACTTGAGTGGCCACAAGTAGGAGTTTGACATTTGGCAGAATGTTCAGATTTTGGCTTCATCATTCATGTTGAAGTATATAAACAATGTGAAACAAATCTCGCCTCCAGTTTCAAAGGTGTCCAGCAACAGAAAAACCAATGTTGCTTCCTTAACATATTTGCCAGATAGCCACTCATAATTCCTGGATGATGTAGAATCTACTGCTTAGTTTATATGGTCTGGCAGTAGATGCCATGGATTACTTGGAACCTTACCAACTCTGTAGGTGGGAAACTGTTATCACATCATAGTTGCATCAGTGCTTGGACTCTAGAAAACAGAGCCATATACAGGATGGAATTTAAAGCTTGTGGTTCCATGAAGGTTTAGCTGCATATACTGATGATCTAAAATCTTGCTCTGAGTATATTCCAGCATGATGGCAGTTGACTGGGTAGATATCTTGGTGAATAATGTTATTGAGGACTTCCTAATGGGTTTGTGTGACATCACATGGTCATTAGACATTATGTATCAGACAGAAGCTATGTCAGTGGCATCAAAGTATGAGACTGTAAATTTGACTGACTTTCAGGAAGGGAAGAAATCAGTAAGTGTTGCTCAGTCAGAGATGCAGTACATGTGAGTGAGAGTGTTTACCCCACAATACCAGAGGTCGTGACAGATGGGACCACTCCTGCAAATATCATGAGGTAACTTGGTTTAGCCTGAAGTGACCTGTTGAGCCTGCTACTTCAGTTGTGTCCATGTTGTGAATGGGGGGAGCAGTCTATTCATTGAGGAACAGAAAAGATACCTACTATAACTGTGGTGACAGGAGGCATCAGCATCCTGTCCATGTGCTTACAGAAGCCAGGATGATCAGCAATAGGTTGTCAGATCCAGTCATTTAAACTGTAAAACCCTGGATCAAATCCAACCATTGAATTGTTTTTTCAGATATCTTTGTCATTACAATATATAGAGGTCTATATATGACTTGGCATGTGGGTGTAAAATTACGCAGTTGCAAGGTAGAGTTTTAGAGGTGCAATTAGTAGAGTTTTGGCTTTAATGGACTTCTTATTACTAGAGTGGATGACATTTAGGCTCCTATTCTTAGGTCTTCTTCAGGTTCAAGTCAAAGTGGTTAAATGTATAGCATTTTTTTTTGTTGATTAACATTGTTCTGTGATAAGATTTCTTTCCTGTGTACTTATCTCTCTGTGTGAGTAGGCGTATCTGGAAGTACATTGTTTGAAGTCATCATTCATTCTGTGTAGTTTGGGGAGAAAGATTTTTCCAGAGGTTGCTGATGTCAAAGCTCTAGTGTTGGTTGGTGTAAAGGTGATCCATGATGTTGTTCCCCATTTATATGACCTGTAATTATGTTCTGCCAATGCTGATTTTTCCTCACGTGTCATTCTAGTTACGTTCTTATGCTTTTTAGTCTTTGTTCTATGGTTTGATCTGTTCCTATAATGTATGTATTTCCACATGAACATGGTATTATGGTGATTAGTTATTTTTGTTTGAACCTGTTGATGGGTTTTTATATGATTATTTGTGGAGGGTTTTCCAGATATGAAATAAACTTTTTTGGGTGAACCTGTGGTATAACATCTTGATTTTCTTGCCTTATTTAGAGATGTATGGTAAAGTAATTTGTTTTTGTGTTGGGGCTGGAAACTTTTTATTTTCAAGAAGACTGGGATGAAGCTTGTAGGGTAACTGTTGTTTTTAAAACTTTTTTTCTGAAGTTTAGCTGTAAGTTTTGTCTCCAGTGCAGATTTTTTTGGCTCTATCAAACATATTCATAATGATTTCTTGTTTACCATGCTATCACTGATTGGACTTATAGTGCAAATATCTGTTTGTGTGTGTGTGTGTTTGTTTTCTATATTTTCTGATGGTGAGGTGGTGATATTGTCCATGAATGAGGGTATCCAGCAATGGCAAAGTTCTGTTTTCTTCTATTTTCATAGTGAACTGTGTACTTGGATTATGTGATTTAGGTGTTGGAGGAAGTCTTGAAGAGTTGTTTGCCTATATGAACAAATTAATCTATGTAGCACTTCCATATCTTGAATATCAGGATACTTATATGAAAGGCTCTAGTTTCAAAGTCTTCCATGTAAATATCACTGAGCAGGGCT